ACACCCCAGGATTAGCAGCGAACGAGACTGTTATCATCCACTACTTTCGTCAGAGTTCCAGAACAAAAATTCACCAGTAAACTCTTACAGTTTTAGGATTATAATCCGGATTGTGAAATCGTAGTAACTGCGGATCAAGATGATCGAATACTATTAGTGGACAGTTGTCGAATATGGAAACGTTCACACTGATGTTCAAAACAACTTCCGCAGGACTTTCTAGGATTTCTCTCCGACCTAGAATACTACGCATCCTAGTTTAGGGAAAATGAGAAGGACAAGAAAAAGGACAACTCTCTCATTGAGCGCACCATAAGACTTTAAGGGGCTGGCTGAACTATACTTATTTACCACGGACAACCCTCTGAAATCCTGGTACCTTCACGAGCGCGAGACCCTTAGTTCTCTCATGTTCAAGTTGTGAAGTCAAGAAAAACAAATTACGAATCCTGGCGAGGTCCCATAGAGGTGGACAGCTGCGGCCGAAGGCGTCTCTAAAGGGAACGGTCCGCATTGACCTATGAAAATGCAGAGAATTATGTGGAAATTTAGTTTGGTCCGCGGTGAACAATCCTGTAGCAGTTTGGCGGCGGAAAGTTGTATGGCAAAGGAATTCGCTAATATGAAAAGGTAACCTCATGCATCAACGGTGCAAATTCAACTCACCAGGTAGATGTAGATGTAGCAGAGTGATATAAAGCGATAGCAAAATTAGAGCAATAGCTATTTTAACTGCACGAGATTTTCGTAACTCGCGACTCATTTTCTGAAGCAAAAGTGGAGCTGTGTACACTGGATAAAATACTGGAACAGTAAGATTCTTTGCACGATTCGCACACTTTAAGGCCCGAAAGGGTGCTACGGGAGTTGAGGGGTCATGCGAGTTCGCTACCACGCGAGTTCATGAAAAATCGTGCCATTTCACGTCAGATCTGCTCATTCCCCCTCGTCCTCCCAGAAAAAATGAGAAGTTATCCACCGCTAAGAAACCCAAGCAGGACCTTTTCATATCAGATGAAAGCTAGGGACAGTGGAGTAGAATCATAATCTTGTGAGGCAATGTCGGGCTGTGTTAACACCTCGCAAAAGTGAAAAGCTGACGAATGAATTGTGGAATTTGAAAAATTGACGAATGTGCTAAAATAAGCTATTACGTCGAGATTTCCGCTGTTTCACCGCCTCCAACCCGCTATTTGCAGATTTTTCAAGCTCGACGGTTTTCCAGTGTCGCTAGGTCTAAACGGCAAGTGGCACTTCTATGTACTGCCGAATATTGCTGTTAAAGGGAGAGCCCACGTTCACTTATAATTATGCAATGGTAATCTCTTCGAGGGGGAGCTATGTAGTGTTGACCGCAACAAACCGCCTTAAATGGAGTTCGCATCAGAAGGTGGTAAGGTAGCGGCGTTAAGGCACAAGGTTGCTCAAGTGACCCCTCCGCGCTGATAGATGTCTAGTCTGCTGTCTTGCTCGTCTGCATGCTCTCTCGCTGCTTTGTCTGGCCTCTCGCCCGATATCCACATCGATTCTTTTTCTCTCGCTTGGCACAAGTAGGACCTTATTTGTACGCTTTCTCGGTTCGATGTCGCTAAAACGGTTCCCCCCCCTCTTGTTCACAGTTGTTTCTACGACCACTACACTTCTGTTTTCAAAACACAACTCTCCACGAAACTTTTCGCTGGCTCTCATCGCGAAGTCCGTCTTCGAAGCAAGATTGAAAAACATTTGCAAACCATTCGCGCAAAATTCAAAAAGCCCTTCGCGTGAAGAAACTTGCTCACTTAACAAGCAACTCCTTTGCCCAGCCTCAAGCGAAGATCTTGTACCTGATCTTGCTTATAATCGTATCGTTGCCCCCTCAACAACAGTAAGTTTTTCCCAACCATCACAAAATTCAAGGGACTTGGTATGGTATTGAATCTATGGCTCACCTATTTTTTTCACTTCAATCCACAAGGCTCTGTAAAAAAATGCGACAAAATCAACGAAAAGCTCCCCCTCTCTTAATATTCTAGCTGGAGCTGATTTCATCAAGAATGCTGTGTTTGTATAGAACTTACCTCCTGAATCTCAGCAAGAAAGTGCTGCCGGACAATGAATTTGTCCCTAGAAGGCGCCTAGAAGGAGAAGGTGCTGCTGCTTTAAGATTGATGAAAAATGATAATAAAAGGCGATGAAGGGGCTCAAGATTATCGGTGACAGACCAACCATTCACAATAACATAACAACATAACAAGTCTGGACGTGTTAGAAGTGTCAGGAAGTGTTTATTCGTCATTCAACATGACCAGTCATGTTTCTACGCGATCAGCAAACACCTATGGGGCAACTTAGTCCTCTCGGATTCATACTATTTGAAACCATACACTATTCTCCCAGGTACGGTCAAGGGTTTCGCCTCCGGAGGAAGTCTGAGGCCTCCATGAGCGGTGAAAAGCTCTTGGCCACCATTCTGTGCAGTCAGAAGCGCACGTTGGAGCTCTATTGCTGGGGCTATGACGGCACAGTTCTCGGAGAAAGAGATACACATAGCCCAAGTTTTACGCGTTCAAAGAATTCAAGAGGTTGCTTCTTTGACTCTTCTCTGAATCTTCTTTGTCACATCGCCCATTCAAAGGCAGTTGGCACGATAAATCCCTGTGAAGAGTAGGAGAATACCCCTGACAGGACGGAATTCCGCGCCCCTGAGCAGGCGCTGCGTAGCACCTTTTCAAGGGAAGTACCCTTATAAGGACCCTATCAAGCTGCAACATACCGACCCGGACGCCCACCGCGCCCGCCCGCCCACAAATGGACGACCGTACCTGATGCTCGTATTGCTTCATTTGCGAACTACAATATGAAGCGAAGGGATTGATATGAACCGCGGTGCTGCAAGGATATATGAGTACGTAGATGCAGCCGTATCTACCCTAACTTTTACTGGTACGATGTCAACGGAAACTCGTCCGGAATCGCTTTTTTCCAATGAAGGCCAGTCGGATCGCCCGACTTTGCCGGGCGATCCTCCTTCCGCGTGTGGAGTGGATATTACCCCAGAGTTTCTCCAATGAGGGCCAGTCGGATCGTCCATTCATTGTAGTATGAACTATCGTAGACGGCATCAACCGTCAAGGTTCACAACACGATCCCTACGAGTGTCTCTTCCTGACTTCCTCTGCCAAACCGACGCTTAATTCACTCACACTGCGCTCATGAGCCGCTACAATTACGAGCTTTTTGAATTTTGTAGCAAGTGCCGCCCATCTACGGTACGCCCCGCGCACTAGCTCAGCGGCCGTGCATCGTTTCCATCCGTGGTCCCTCATGTCGGTGCCCTTGCAAAAGGGTTCCATTCTGCCTCGGAGTCCGCTCGAGATGGATTTCAGCGGGGTTCAGGCCTTTGCGATAGGCGATATCATCGATTGCGAGAGCAAGGGGGAAAGGGATCTCAGCGGGGTTCAGAGCCTCTTGCAAATTTTTATTCCATCCTTATTAAAGACCGCGTGAAAAAGGGTCTTATTGAGGGTCGGAAAGCAGCCTAAGGAGCATCTCAGCTACCTTCGGAGACTCCCTCCCCCAACATCGTTTCCATCCGTAGTCCCTCATGTCAGTGCCT